AAAGCAGTATAACTGTCAAAAGAATGAAAAAATAAAAGACAGGGACAATCCAGTTAACTGCGGTGGCTGGAGCGTGCACTGTGAGCTCATGTGGGCTGAGAGGACTGTGAATCCCCCACCACCCTACACCCCACCGGCACTGCCAAGTTCAGTGCTCCAGTCCCGCTGTCCTCAATCCTACCCTGGTCCTAGCACTGGGTGCCCCTCTATCTCTCACTTGGGGGTCCTGCCTACCAGCCCTTGGGTGGGGCAGAGACTTGGCTCTTTGGAAACTATCTGGCTCAAGAGTGGCAGTGGCACTCTCTCAACTGGATACTCCCCCTTTCCACCAAGGGTGTCCCTGTCTAGAGCAAGCAATCCTTGCTCCTGCAGCAATACATATGAGGATAGATGAGAATGGCATGGGTTTTGTCGTTGTTGTTTTTGGTGGAGGAGGGCAACACTAGAGGCCTGCCCAGGCTCAACAGAATCCTAGCTCTCTAGTCCCACCCTGACAGCATCCTATTTGGACCTCAGTTAGCCACAATGCCTGTCAAGTGTCAATCAAAGCAGAACTTCTTCTCATGCTGGACACCTCAAGGAAATAAAACTGTCCCCAAAAGCCCCCTTTAGCTCCATGTATTACATACCTGCCTCTCTCTGTGCAGCAGGTGAACTGCTCGTCATTTCTGCATCTGCTTTACAACTCTCCCCAGCATTCTCCTGTACACACCAGCTCCTTACATCAGTGCCACTGCCCAGCTCAGACCTCTCAAAATCACTGCACACAAGCTTCAGTTCACTCTGTTCAGAAGACCTGGAGGAAAAAAAAAAAACAAAAAAAACACATCCACATTTTATGTATACACACACATCCTTCCCTAAGACATTAGACTCAGGAAAATCTGACCCTAGGATAAGTTGGAGAACATGATGAGCAAGGAAGGGGACATCAGTAAGAAAGAGATCCGGGGGCTGGGAGCACAACTCCGTGGTAGAGTTTGTGTTTAGCATGCTTGAGGCCCTGGGTTTGAGCCCCAGCACCAAATTTTTAAACCAGGTTGCCATTTGGGGACTAGAATTAATTTGTAAGTCATTGATTTTACTTAAAAGTTTACCATGAGAGGAATACGACTCTGCAAGGTCACTCAAGGTTAACTGATAAGTAGCTGACTTGGGATTCTTGGCTTGTTTCCTTTGCTTTTCAATAGATGAACCTGCTCTGCCTGGTGTCTGACAGAAGGTACTGAGTGTTAAACACCCCCTCACTCATTTATTTAGCAAATGTCTATTGCATGTACTATGTTCTGTGTATTGTCCAGAGAGGTGGAGCATCTATAAGGAAGGAAAGCACAGCCCCACCCCACCCTAATATGGATTATGAAGTTGAATAAATCTCTTGCTAGACCACAAACCCTTCCGGGGCAGAATTATAATACAATTTCATAAACATCGAAACAGAAATGTGGAGAATGTTCTGGGATTAACCAGATGACTCTTTCGCATGCTCTAGTTTTGGTACACAGTATTGAGTCTGCAGGATGGCAGGAAAGAAGATGAAATATGTGAGGTGCAACAGACAGTTCTGCTGGTTTCTTCTGATCAAGGTAAAAATAGGATGTGGGCAGAAACAAGAGTCCAGGCAACAGGCTACTCAATAACCACCACCTACTTCTTAAGCATCATGTTCTCAAAACATTATGAGCAGCTACAGACTCTGCCTTGGAGTTATTTTTTTAACAATCCAATTATTCCTTCAGCATCTCAGAAATCTGCTTTTAAAAGTATCATAACATTTCATTGGTAAAACTGCACTCTATTTTCATATCTTTCTATAAATTCATATCTGGGAAAACAGATTTCATTAAAGTGACTTCATGGTCAATCATATGTTTATAAAAACAAATACGTAAAAGAATACAAGGTCTGTGTCTCACTTCCTTTCTACAGAATATTATGCTTCAGCTTTCAAATAATTTACTCTAAATTATCCGGGCTAAACAAGGAAAATGACCCATCAATAATTAGAATTCAGTGTTATTAACAAAGTAATAATGGGTATGTTTATTCTTTCATAATTGCACTTTGTGGTGGTGCCATGTGAGCTGGGTGTGGAACTGAGACTGGAGGCGACCCTACAGCTGCCCCCCCACCCCGGCCCATCATCCAGGACTGCACGTGGGCCTCGCTAGGGAGCTCTCACAGTGCTGGGCCAGGACCCCGTGCTCCCCAGGGCAGCCTACCCGCAGGTCTAGAGACAGACACCCAGGCACATGAAGCACACATGCTTCCTCTGCCATGGCCCTAGCCACCATGCAGGCTGACCTGTCAGTTCCTTCTGACAGCCAAGTTCAAGTGCAGCAAAGTGGAACCCTTTCCCTACACAAATGTGGAACTGCTAGTGAAAAAATTTTAACAAAAACATTAAAGTGCCCAGCTGAGACCACAAGAAAAAGAAATCTCTAGGAGCCAGAACTCAGAAGAAAAAGAAGCCGGGGGAACGGCTTCAGTGCCCACCCATGGACAGCTGAAGACAGGCCTCAGGGGGTTGGAACAGCATTTCCAACATAACACTGAGGTCCTGGAAGGGGACAGCCTCCATTCAAGGGGGAACCTGAAAAGATCCATCCAAGGGCCCAGGGAGGATGTGTCTGCTACGGGTTTTCCCATGTGTGGGTGAGGGGCGCTGGAAGAGTGATATAAGAAATCAGAACTTGAGAGTGCCCGCCTGGTATGCACAAGGCCCGAGGTTCAATCTCTAGCACTGGGGGAAAAAAAAAATCAGAATTCAACTGAGTAGATTTGGAGTTAGACTGTGTACACACACAACTGACCTGGTTAAAACAGGTCAGTTTAAATGGGAAATTTAATGTTGGATTTGGGAGGCTATTCCTGGAACCTCAGCAATACAGCAATACAGGATTCTCACAAAACATCAGATAAGAAAATGAAAGTCCAGTGCACTTAAGCATCTTAAGGAAGCAAGGTTTCCAAAACCCAATGCCAAACTGCCAGGTTCAATCCTGGCTGTGCCCTTGCCAACTGTGGAGCTATCAAGGAGCTACTGACTACCTGGGCACCTCGCTTCCCACAGCTAGAAGAACCCACCTCATGCAGGACTGAAGCGAGGGTTACGGCGGGGGGATGGGGGGAGTGACTATTCCATCTTACTATGCCAGTGGCCAGGCTGGGAATAGGTGGCCTTGCCTGTGTCCAGGGCTTTCTCCTGCACCTGTCTCACAAATGCTCCTGCACTTCACAGACAGAACAAGGCCTTGGCACAGAAGAATGCTTAATCCTTTTCCTAAAACCTCTTGGCTTTTAGCATTTTGTAAAGGACAGATTTAAAATAAATGTGTGGTGAGTGGTACATCTGTAATTCCAGCTCCTTGGGGGGCTGAGGCAGAAAGATCACATGTTCAAGGCCAGCCTGGGCAACTTAGTGAGATCCTGTCCCAAGGCCGGGAAAATAGCTCAGTGGTAAAATGTACCTGGGCTCAATCCCCAGTTTAAAAAAAAAGAAAAATGAAAAGGACGGTGGAATGAGGTGGATATTATTACCCTGCACCATGTACAGCCAGAGGAAGGAGAAGTGTGCTCCATTTGTGTACAATGTGTCAAAATGCATTCTATTGTCATGTACAACTAATTAGAATAAACTAAAAAAAATAAAATAAAACAAGAAGGCCCCTAATAAGGTACTTTTAATAAAAATACAATCAGAAAATATGTTAATTTTATAAGTACATTTCAATCTTGAAGTACTATACTATACTATATTTGGTCGTCTATCCAACCTTAAGTAAAAGATAACAGCACAATGCACAAACATAAAGTAAGAAATCAGACCAAAATCATAAAGAAATTATAAAAACCACACACCTGGAGGCCTGGGCAACACCCCTCTTCTTGTTTTTTCTACACGTTCGATTTTTATTCCAATTCAGATTTTGCACATTTCCGTCTTTTTTCTCCTGAAGCTTCTTCTTCCTGAAAGGATCCTCTTGCTAAAGAGGAAAAAGAAAGCGTTTAGTGGCCTCAAGTGCCTCAACGTGAAGAGAAACCCTCGAGTGTGTTTGTTTTAATTTTTGAAGACCGACTCCATCTGCGTTTAAAATGACCCTGCTCTGGTGACAACTGAGACATATGTTCCCCGGCCTCTAGTTTGTTTTCATTTCCCTCCTTTCTCCATCTCCCTCTAGCTCCAAAGAAAGAGAAGAAAAAAACGAATTGTTGCCTATAAAATTCCTGAGGGGCTAAAAAGGAAAAACATCTGCTAGCAATTTATGGGTGGCTTGCTGTTGGCTTCAGCAGCAATAAATCCTCCAGCCCCCACCTGTTAATCTAGTATGTGCAACTCCCACGAATGACTACTAGAGAAACATCAGATTAAAACTCAGCTTAGGAGTAAGTTGTGTACTTCTATTGTTGTTTACAGATCAATGTTAGGAGAACAGCCAGATCCCAATAGAAGGCCCCAAACTTGTTGTAAGTTTCTTGGGTAAATAAAAAGTATGCTTTATATTTTTGAAATGTGGTTCTAAAAAAAAAAAAACAAAACCTAATCCAGCATGTGATGCGTATACAGTAGATAGGAGAAGTTACAGATACATGTGTATACTTTTAAAATTTGTGCTTTTCCTTTTTTTAAATGCCAGGCCCAAATGGAAGGGAATTCCCCTAGCTTTTGTTTTTAAAGTAGCCAGAGTCTTCTCCATCTTCTTACACATACTACTTCTCTTCCACATGCTGCCCCTTAAAGCAAAGGCACTGACAGGTGAGAGGTGGTACACCTGTGCAGCGGGACTGAGGGCTTAAAAACACGGCTCCAGCGTATCTGGTCCTTCCAGGAGGAAACTGCCTCCTCCAAGGTCCTCCAGAGCAGAGGAAGACCCCCTAGATGCACAAATCCTCTTCCTACTGACCCCTGGGACTCACATTCCAAGAAAAGCAAAGTCTGGTTCATTTTACCCTCTTTTTCAGAAGGTTGGTCCAGAGAACAGAGAAGGAATCCACAGAGTGCTAGCACACATGACTACCACAGGAAGAAGAGAAAGCAAAGGTTCCACGACCTATGTTCTCTACGTGGCCTCTGTCTGGGACAGCAGAATCCTCCATCCGTTCAAGCAACGTGTACACTCTGATAAACAAGTATTAGAAATAACACGAAATTCTAACTACCACGTAGTCAGATGATGGAATTTTTGCTTCCTTCTTTATATTCTTTTAATATTCTTTCTGGTAGGTACACAGCAACATTTTTTCCTGACACTGAAAGTATTTTAAAATCCTAACAAGCCCAAAACACAGAACCCTGTCCCACAGGACCTAAAGCTAATTGCTGAAGTTTGATGTCCAACAGACATAGGAAAGACAGACACGTGACCTGCACGCAACTCACACACACACCATTTGTTCACGTGCCGCTCCTTCATGGATTGGGGGGAGGGTCACCCCTCTCCTACCCACATTGTTCACTCAAAGGCCAACTAAGCCTTGTCAAAACACAAGTTCTTGAGCCTTTCTGTTTCTCCAGGGTCAGGCACAAATAAAGGGTCAGTCTTTTAAGTGTGAGTGGGTCTATGACAAAGGGCTGACTTTATCACATCAATCTGGTTGGAACTGTCACCCTGTGCAAACAGGAGGGTAAGTCTATTTTGGATGGCTGAGAGGTAGGACAGAAGCGCCACAGAATTCACAGCAAGGAGAGGAGAAGAGTGAGGGACAAGCTGGGCTCAGAGGCAACGAGTGGAAGGACCAAGAAGCAAAGCCCACGAGTCACATAACAGGGGAAAGAAATCATGGGTGAGGAGAAGAAAGCAGAAAGAGGCTGCGAGGAACGACAGCTGACAACGACCTTTTTCTTTGAGACGTGAGTGCATCCAAAGCACTGGGCACCGAGCAGGGCGACAGGCCTGCGTCGCGGACAGTGACAGGAAGGCAAACCAGGGAAAGGAAGCTGCAGGCTTGCCCAGAAAGATGAGGCAGAGGAAGGGGTGATCGGACTCTGTGAGCAAGGTTCCCACGGGGAAGGCAGAGCTGACCACGAGAGGAAAAGAGCCACACAGAGACCCAATTCAGAGCACTGCCTCGAGGGCCACACGGCCAGCTTGCACCCTGCTCCCTGCCTCCTCGCTGTGTTGCTTGGGCAAGTCACTTGGCCTCTCTGCCTCAGTCCCCTGAGTTCCCAAAAGGTGGCTGGTTGTAAGGATTAAATTACCTGTCACAGTAAGCAGGCTGTCTTTGCTATCATCATCGTTGCTGAGCCTAAACTAAACAGAGGTGACAATTTAAAAGATGTCAAGGTGGAGAAAGAGCCTCTAAATTTTTCTAAAAGCACAAGAAGAAACCAAAGAAGAGAAACCGTGGGGCCAGGGTTGTGGCTCAGTGGTAGAGTGCTTACTGAGCATGTGTGAGGCACTGGATTTGATCCCAGCACCACATAAAAATAAACAAAATAAAGGTACTGTGTCCATCTACACCTAAAAAATAGATATGGTAAAAAAAAAAAAAAAAAAAGAAGAAGAAGAAGAGAAGAAACCACAGATTGATTGCACAAAGGCATTTTGAAACCACCATATATAAGTAAAAGTGAATGAAAATCAGAAGGGAAAACTAATAAAAAATTCTGATACACAATGTTTGGTGAACAACATTAAGTTAATATCTTGACATACAGAGTGTTCTTAGAGAAAATAAAGGAAACCACTAACATTCAATAGAAAAGTGGAAAACATAGAATATCAATTCACAAAAGGAATAGAAAAGGAAAAAAATGAGTTCATCTAGAATATTTCACAATAAAACAATATCCTTAGAAAAGGCAAATTATAGACTAGCTTGTATCTCATCTTTCCATTTTGGTTTTAGAAAACATGAATGCATTTATAATGCATGTTTACATTTGCAAATACTAGGCAATGACAGGAAGCAGGATATTGTAAGAGTGTCAGCCTCTGATTAAACATTAACATCTTAATTTATAGGATTTATTTGAAGTGGTAGGATTTTGGATGCTTTAATTTTTTTATTAGAATTTTACAAAACATGAAATAAAACAAAATGCTCCCCTTTCCCTGGTGAGATGCAAACTGAAATGAGAAACAAACCCAGCTATTCAGAGATGGAGGTGTAGCTCAGTGGTAGGTGCATGTGTATCAGCCATGTAAGGCCCTGGGCTCAATGCCCAGCACCAAAAAGCAAACAAACAAGATCAAGGGAAAGCCCAAACCTTTTGGCTCACTTATCATATGACCATAATTTTGCTAAGAGAGGCTGTGGGTGCAAAAGTCAGTGGTAAAGCTCACATTTAGTGTGCATGAGGCCCATGTTCAATCCCTGGCATCAAAAAAATTTTTATTTATTTATTTATTGGGCAAACTGGTGCTGCTGAGAGGAAAATGAAGCCAGCACTCTCATACACCACACGTGAACATAAACTGCTACTGACTTTCTGCAAGGCAATGCAGCAGCACTCCAGGGAAAGAGCTGATACCCTTTAACTCTATTTCTTGACATCCATAAATAAGGATCTATCAGGAATGAAGACAAGAATTATGAACAAAATTGTTCATCAGAGTTACTTATGAAAGTCAAAAGCTTAATGCCCACCTGCAGGAGAATGGTTTAAATAATGGATGGCTTAAATTTTGACACAAATGATAGATTGTTAATATACCCAATAAAAATAAAGCTGTCTAATATTCAACCACTTGAGAAAATAAGAATCATGACATTAAACCTACCCATAATAATAGCTGTTTTCCTCACTATTTTATGATGGTGAAGTAAGAAACTTTTTTGAAATTTGCATAGAAAACAAATAAACTTCTAAAAGTGGTTCATTTTGTATAGATTTTTCCCCCTTACATTTTTAGGCTCCTATAAGAATCATGGATTCCTTCCTAAAGGGGGAAAAATCTGCTTAAAAGAAAATAAAAAGCCAGAGCTAGGGTTAAAATTTAGTTTATGGCTCTCAAACTTGGGCTTCAACCAATAAATCTGGAAGAATGTTCTCCACATACTATAGACAGATTTATACAATTTTCTAAGCTGCAAAGTTAGGCCCTAAGAATGTGCAAGAAAAACAAACGCTGAGCACTGCACTTGGGAATGTGTTTATTGAGAATGATTTTCTTTAAACGAACAATGAAATGGAAAGTACACTCAGGGGACCTCAAAGTACAATTCCAAGAAACAGGGAGTGAGCCAGACATACACAGAAATGGCAAAGGACAGCCCCCAACTCGGAACCAGAAAATCCACCTTGGTTAAACTTGGCTGGGGATGGCCACAGGGTCCATCTGAGTCCCCTAAGTCCCTCAAGCTGGCATCTTTCCTGCTGAGCCAGCAGCCACTGTTAGGTACACATGTCTGTAATAACAGGCTCACAGACCAGCGCGGGAGGGATTACATAGCCTTAGGGATGGAGTGCAAGGACTGAGAGACATGGTTAAAGCCGGTTAAGGCCCCACAGCCTCAAGCAGCTAAAGCCAAAGACACACAGGGAAGAAAGTAACTCAACAAATTAAGAAAACTGCATAACAAAGGACAGAAGTTGGAGGGCTAAGTCTGGATCTGGGATCCAGGAAAGACTCTGTGACTGGGGCAAGGGCTTAAGGGAAGGAATAATGCCCACACACGTGGCAGATGGGCACCAGGAGCAGTACTGACCATCCCAGACCAAGGGGACCTTGGAGTAATCGGTCACCACCTTTCCTCCCGGCATCCAATCCCAGTACCAATTTCTATTTCGCTGCAGGCCAATGGGCAAGCCTCTAAAGCCATTTAGAGCAGAGATGCAGATCTTCACTTCACTGGTTCCCTCTGTCCTGCATCTGATGACTTTATTTCTGCTCTGGAAAGTACGCCCTACTTGTCTTTCGGCTGAGCTCTTTGTTCCTCTGCTGTACCTGTGCCGGCAACCCATCTGCAAATTCGAGGCTGCCCAAGGGTCAGTCAGGCCACCATCTTCTTGCCACACATGCAACAGAGAACTCCAGGCAACATTTGGGTCTCACCTCCACAGGGATAACCCCCCCAGCTCAAGTTTCCAGTCTCCCTTGTCATGGAAGCTCCAGCCCCCCAGCATCTATTACACGACTGGCCCCAAAGCCCGTAACCCCCCCTGTTGTAATGACTGCCATCCTAACTGTCACTGCTTTGGTACTTACTACTTGGCAGCCTGCCATTCTAAGCACTTCTCATAATAACTCATTTCCTCCTCACAACCCCATGACATTGGAAAACTATTATCATCGTTTTACAAAAGGAGGGCACTGTGACATTAGCCCAATGTCATTTCATAGAGTGAGTGTGCATGAGCTAGATTCAAACCCAGGAATCCTGGCTGTGAAGTCCATGCTCCTATGATGCAACACTGCTCTGAAAGATGTGAAAAGAAGCTTATTACATAAATCCCAATTTCTCATCTTCTAGCCACCGAGGTGTTAAACCTTGCGTTGCCGTGGCAGATGGCTGTGTAAAAAAAAAGTGATTCCTCTGCTTTATGCTACCAAGTGCTAAGAAGTCCTGATGGTTTCTTCTCTAAATGTCTCTCTTCTACTCTTCCTATCCTTTACCCTGGTCCTTATCTAAATATAGGTCTTGGTGACAGCATGTCTCCTAGCAGAGTGACAGCATCCATGCTAGAAGAAACCTGATATCCATTTCTTCCCTCTCCACCCCAGATTCCCAAACACCCATACTGATCTTTCAAAAATGCATTATTCACACATTCAGTCAAGCACTTACTTAACAACTACATCAGTTCTATGTAAGAAGCAATCTGTCAAGTCTTTGTGAAACTGATTAAAAAGATGTCCAACTGATACCTGTCAGGAAGATCAGAGCCTACAGGCTATTTGTCACTGTTCAGCCAGCCACTGTCCCTTCACCCCACAATTCAGCTCTCCATGATTTGCATCAAATGTCCAAAACTGGCAACTCTTAGGCCAAATCCTCTAAAACACTTTTGGTTTGCACAAATGTGCTTTTAAAAATTATGACTGAGGGCTGGGTTGTGGCTCAGTGGTAAAGCATTTTGCGTACGTGAGGCACTGGGTTAGATTCTCAGCACCACATTAAATAATAAATATATAAATAAAATAAAGGTATCGTGTCCATCTAAAACTTAAAAAAAAAATTAAATTCTGATTGTAAAATTCTGTAGCAGACAAGCATTCTCTAGTTCTCGATAGACACCACCCACCTCCTTGTGTTTCCCATGGAGACTGAAGGAATAAAATCTCACCTCTCAATTAGCATTCAAAGGCCTTCACAATCTGGTGGACTCTGACCTTCCAGGCTATTACTCTGAGTAGGGGTGGCTGCACAGGCAGATGACTCACTGGCTACCTGTTCCCCAGTGTCCAGCTGTTCCTCGCCTATGGGACTCAGTGGTTCCCCTGCCCACCTTTCCTCCTCCTCCTTTCCATACAAGTTTCCTTCTCCTCCAGGGGCTTCCCAGGGCCACTGCAGCCTGACCTGGCTTTTGAATCTCTGACATGCCCTCTATTACATGCTCATCTTGGTGCTGATTACAGAGAAAACTCTCACCTTTTTCGACATGCTGCAAACTCCTACTGCAGAATGTCTGCAACTTATTTTACAGCACTTACATTTTTATTTAAATGAAAGATTCATGCTTATAAGTTTAAATGAAACAGAGGATGATGAAGAAGGGGTAAAGAAGTCATCCAAACTCCCACCACTCAGAAATAACTAAGGTCACCCACTGACATTATGTTAACCTTAACATTGAGTATTTTTCTAGAAACATATGTACAAATGGTGGAGAAATTATGGGAATAATTTATAACATGGGACCTGTGTTACTTTTTAAATAAAAAATTAAGGCTCAGTTTTATATTAATTTAAAGTAAGAAAAAGAAACTGAAATTGTCAACAGGAACTTACAACTTTCAAATAATTGTTCCTTCTCCATGTGATATAGTAATTCCTTAAGGATCTAAGATTACCAAGACTGGAAAAACACTTTAAGTTATTCTTTTAAGCTTTTAAACTGTAAGTTTCATTTTACATAGTAGTGGCTCTCTACCAAAAAAGATTAAAATTAAAACTTGTTTTCATTTACCTCTCAATCCTACCTCCTGTATTTGAGAAATTCTTTTTCTTTTCTCTTCTTTTCTTTTTCTTTTCCTTTTTTTTTTTTGCTGAAGTTTTAATATATGCAATCTGCTCTGCGGTTGTAAAGACCATTGTGTAGTCTTAGTTCTGGAAATAAAATGGACTGAAACCTCACAAAAGACTTTTTTTTTTTTTATTTTGGGTCTATACTTTTACTTCTATCTCAATTGGCTAAATTTTATTAACTTGCCTTTTCAAGTAAGACTCTTTAGGGCTGGGGATATAGCTCAGCTGGTAGAGTGCTTGCCTTACAAGCACAAGGCCCTGTACCTTGCAAGCACAATCCCCAGTACCACACACACGCAAAAAAAGATTCTTAAATTCATTTGTGTTTAAGGATTGTCTACCTATCACCTCTGAAACAGAGTGTCAACTTGGCTAGACACAATATTCTTTGTTCCAGTTTTCACTGCTGTTTTTTAGCATGAGATGTTCCTGTGGAGAAGTTTGAGGCAGCCAAGCAAGCTTAAGTTTGTGTTTCCTGATTTTCCTGTCTTCACATCTCTTTGCGCTCCAAATTCAGTTAATTTAAGTAGAATGTATGCATATCCATTTTTATATGTCAACCTTTCCTTGTGTACATAGTAGGCTCTTTTGATCTACCAACTTAGCTTCTGCCTCACTGCAGGAGAATTTTCTTCTATTATATCACAAATACTTTTCTAACCTTTTGGAGAGAATATGATGATAGTCACAGGGACAAAGAAAGAAGGTGACTCAACAAGAGCATGCCTTAAAATAATGGATATTGGTACCAAATGGACAGAAGGGATCCTGATCTGGTTCTACTCTACTGCTGGAGTTAACCCATTTTCTTAGGAATAGGTACCACAGGGAGACAAAGCTATATGGCTTCACTAAAAATTATTTTAGTACTCCCTACACATTGTTTAGAAGATAAAAGTTTCTGAAAACCCACACCAAATTCCCAATATTGATTCCAATATACTGAAAAGAAATACATTTCTTATACAAATATTTGCATCCTATACCCTAAACATAATATTTCTTTTAGTAAGAAAAAAATTTTTAAAAAGGAATACAGACCTCCACTGAAGGCATGTCCTGTTTCTCAGAACATATGTCTTCTTTAGAAGCTTTGTGAATCTTCTTTTCTGAAGATGACTTTGTGTCGACCTTTTTCAAAGTTTCACAACTGTCTACTTCATTCTTGACAGGCACTTGCTGGTTATTCCCTTGAATAAATAAAAACAATTCAATTTCTAGCTAAATTTTTCCATGCATATTCCTTTTTCCTATATCAAGCCATCTCATTTGGTTTAATGACTTTTAGGCTTAAAGATTACTTTTGACATCCATGATGCTCCAGAAACTAATTTTGTTTATAAGTAAAAATGCATTTAAATTAAGAGTTCTACAATCATTAAAAGACGACTAGGAAAAAGGCATATGGAGGGGGGGAATCAATATTCACAGCAGCAGCATTATATAATAGACAAAAGATGGAAACAACCCAAATATTCACTGATGGATGAGTGGGGGGTGGGTGCTGCATACACATAAGGAAATACTATTCAGCCTGATTCATCACCTACGGTGAGTACACTTAGCATACTGAACAGCTGGAATTGTTAGGATGATTTTAAAAAAAAGATCAAAATTCTAATATAAGCTACAACATGGAGGAACCTTGAAGACATTATGCTAAGTGAAATATGCCAGTCACAAAAGGACTAATGCTTCCTGATTCCACTTGTAAAAGGGACCCAGCATCATCCATCCACCATAAAGGGATAGAAAGTAGAATGCTGGTTCCCAGCATTGGGAAAGGGAGTAAAGGGTGTTACTTAGCAAGCACAGAGTTACTTTTTGGGATGATGAAAAAGTACTGAAAATGGACAGTTCACATGCACAGCAACGTGAGTATACTTCATGTCAGTGAATTTTATAATTAAAAACAGTTAAAGTGCCGGGCATGCTGGTGCACGCCTATAATCCCAGCGGCTCGGGAGGCTGAGGCAGGGAAATCACGACGTCAAAGCCAGCCTCAGAAAAAGTGAGGCACTAAGCAACTCAATAAGACCTTGTCTCTAAATAAAACACAAAATAGGGCTGGGGATGGTGGCTTAGTGGCCATGTGCCCTTGAGTTCAATCCCTAGCACCCTCCCCCCAAAAAATAGTTAAAGTGGGAAATTTTATGATATATACATATATTTCAATCACATTTTTGGGGTGACACAAGAAAAGAACTGGGTTCTCCACCACTAATTAGAATATAATGAGATTAAATGTCATGTGAGTAGTCAAAGAGTTGCAGTTTGTTTGTTTGTAACAGGAACACAGCATCCCCTTTCCTGTCTGTGTACATGTATACAGTAGAAGCATAAAGCATCACCACCAAAGGACACATGTCATTTCACGGAAGGCCCTCTCCCTGGGCAAGTGAATAGCACCCACAGGCCAAGCAAGGAACCAACAGTAGGTGAAAGATCCAGAAGTGGGATGTGCTGGCGAGAACCTTACCTGAAAGCATGCCTTCTCCATCTGCAGTGGGTGTGCTGGGGATGGAACCCAAAGTCTCATACATGCTAGGCAAGAACTCTGTCACTGAGCTACACCTCCAGCCATTTTTCTTTTAGGTGACTTAATAGGTAAACTACTTCTATCCCTTAATTCACAATGAAGGCACAACTCCACAGCAACTGGCTTCAGTTTTGTAATTTAAAACAAAGTATTTCATTGCCTTCTATCCCCCCCACACCCCGCCCTTAATGATATCTCAAAAATCTGAGAAAGTTCAGATGGCCACAGCAGGCCCTGGCAGAATGGATGCCTGACCAGACAGTGGGATCTAAGGGGTGGGGGCGGGGGGGGGGCAAATCTCTCAACTCACAAGATGAAAGGAGCAGTTGAGTCCCCTCAGATTCTGACACTACAAATGAAACTCAAAGCAAGATACACAGATTTTTTTTTTTAAATAACACAAAGTAAGCATACTTTTTCTGTTAACTCAAAGTGACATAAATATCAAGTAACTATAAAAACAGTGGCCAAGCAAACGGCACATACTATGAAAAGGGACACAGGATTTTTTATAGTTTAAGTACAAAAAGTTAATTTGGAGTTAGAGTCTTTAAATGTTGCAAGGAATACATGCGTATACAAAATGAATCTTGTGGCTAAACTCATTACGTAAAATGTAACAATTTTCACGCCTCTGGCTATGAAGAGACCCTGACAGAGTCCAAAGGCAAATCTGATCACTGTCATTAGCTGGCAGTAAATTTTAACAGCAGGGTTCAAAAAGATTCTGAATCAAAGGCAATTAAGGAACTCTAAAAGGAATTTCTGTCCCTACAGGATGGACAGTCAACCGTATGCCAAGGGGTTGAGATCTATCTTCTTTACAGGACACAGGGGACACAGCTTTTGGGTCCCCTTGTAAGCTGTACATTTTGAAGTAAGCATGCAACTGCAGCCCTGCAGAAATGTTACCACTCCCCCGTCTCACAGGTGGCAAAAGTAAAAGTCATTCTTGTGCCAAATGATGTCTAAAATGTAATTCCTTCTATAACACAAACTGGCTGTTAGACCTCCACAAAGGAAAATATCCACCGCTGAGAATCAGTCACAGGGACAGCCAAAAGCAAGGGAACTCTGGATCCTGGGAGCCAAGAGTATGAGACAGAACACAGATATTCTCCTCTAAAGAATGAACCACTGCTTTCCTAGCCTCTTATTTCATGAGTAAATAGTTTTCCTCATGTCAAGAATATAGCACCTAAAGTATTAATCACCAAAGTTTCTTAAGGAGGACCCAAATTTAACAGACAAAACTACACCAACCCAAAGAAAGTGGTAAAGCCGAGATTTTTTAGAAAATTAACAATGCTTTCTGTGGGGCGAAGAATCAGGATGAACAGTAAGATGAATGCTAATCGCAAGTTCTTTGGTGATTGAAAAAGTCTACCAAAATAATATTCAAGAATATGAAACTACTGAGTATATACTTTTAAAAGGAGCCAATCCAAGTCTTCCTATTAAGCTTGCAATATTCCCATAACCTCACAGCAAGTGTTTTTTCTACAGTTAAAAATCAAAGACAAATGAAAGAAACAACAATAATAAAGGGAGCAGGAAGAAACTCTGGAAGGCGACAGATGTTTATGGACTTTGTGGTGGTGGCGATTTCAAGGATGAATGCTTATTTCCAAGCCCATCAAGATGTACACATAAGGGCTAGGAAAGCAGCTAAGTGGTACAGCCCCCCCCCCACGATATGTACATTAAATATGCAGAACTTTTTACATGTTAATCATTTTTCAAAAAAGTGCTTGTAGCAAAAAGCAAATGGAAAAACAAGAAATGTGAATTAGCCAGCACCATGCTTCAAATTTTGCTATCTAAAATCTAATCATCTTATATATTCTGAATAATGGATCTAATCATTATTCAGAATGATTAGATGATTCTAATGATTCTAATCTAATCATCTTATATATTCTCCAATAATGGATCTCTAATAATGGATCTCCAATAACTTGAATAGATCTTCAAGTTATTAGTATCTGTGAATAAGAAAGAACATCTTTTGTGATTTCTGTAAATACAGGTATTTCAGAAATTTTGGGGGTGTCCATTTCAGTAAGAACTTTCAGATACTGTTAATTCCAAGGCATTAGTAAGTAGAAAAGTCTACTGTCCTTTATAGTATTATAAGAAAAAAGCAGTGTGGTAATCTGCTAACTATTTCTCTTTGGTAATGCTGAGACCAAGAAGCACCTAACTTTAGCCATAATTCTAAATCTATAGTATTTGAATCATATAATTAAAAATCATAGCTATAAATATTTGAAAAGATATATTATTTCAAAAGATCATTTACATTACACATAGAGCCTCACCCTGTGAGATGATCAAGAGATTCTGGAACATGTAACAAACCTTTGAAGATTTTAGCTGTTTATCATGCTTGACAGGTTGATGCCAAAAGAAAAAGAAAAAAAAAAAAAGTATGGGAAAACAGAGCCCAGGAGAATCTGTCCACAGCCTTCACTTCTATCAGGCGTTTATATTTACCATGTACTACAGGCCCCTCGGGGGAAGGCACAGGCACCCAACAAGACAGGTCTTCTGCTATCCAGAAAACATTGTTTCTCAAAAAAGAAGAATAAAGTCAGAACCATTAATATAGAAGCTGGAACATTTTTTCTTTGAGGGGGGCGGGAGCCACAAAATGGGTGGTACAATTCTCCCAGGGCACCCGGAGTTCTGATGGGTTAAGAAAAATCACTGAAGACACTCTTAAGACAAAGGATTTGCTCCACCTCTTTCCCAAAAGCAATCTTAACCACTAAAATTGCTTCTGCAGAACAGCCTTACAACCTGGAAGAAATGGATAAAAATGTGGGAGGCACATTAACCAGTTTCAACAGAGTGAGTGGAAGTTTACAATTCTGTTGAACAACACAGTAAAACAGATGAAATCGGAACTTAGGATCCTCAACCATTAGGTCAGATAAGTTCCAAAAACCAAAACTCTTTTCCTCAGATTCTAGAAAGGATCTCGAGTTGGAAATGACATGCTTTCCACAAACTAAAATACTTCCCAAAGTAAAAAAAGAACTAACGCCCAAAGCCTGAATTGAAATGCAGAAGGTTCTTGTATATACAGTTTTCTCATTCCTGAGCAACCTGCACACACTATGGTTTCCACAGCCACTAGATGACCCTTTACCATCTGCTGAGTTACACTGCTCTCCTTCCAATTTTCACAAAGGAACCACAAGCCCTTAATATTACTAAGAAACTACAAATTCTACCTTCCAACTGTTAATCATCTTCACCTAGATTTCTCAGTCCATATTCATTTTTAACTTGTCAAAATTTTTACATTATAAATGGATGGCAGGCTATCTGTACATTTTTTTTAGCATTTTGATATTTTCCTAGAATAGTGTTGCAAACATAAAACAACAAAATATAGTTGTTCCGAAGTATCCATAAGGGACTGGTTCCAGAACCCTCTCAGGTAACAAACTCCAAGGATGCTCAAGTCCTTCATATAAAATACCACATAATTTATGCATATCCTCCCACATAACTTAAATCACCTTTGGATTATCTACAATAACATAATACAATGTAAATGCTACATAGATGTTATATGCATTGTTTAGGGAACAATGACAAGAAAAAAGTGTATGAATTCAGTACAGATGCAATATTTTTGACTGAGTATTTTCAGTCCCTGGTAGGTTGACTGTGCAGGTGGTTAAATCCTTTAATGTAGAACCCACAGATGCAGAAGGCAGACTTCACTGTCCATGTCCATGAATAAAACTTCCCTTTGAGGATTCTCCTGCTGACACATTAATTCTATAGAAAAATACAGGCCTGTGAATTAGCACCTTTGGATCTTTATTTATTTATTATTATTTTTTACTTTATATGTGGTGCTGAGAATCGAACCCAGTGTCTCACACATGCTAGGCAAGCACTCTGCCACTGCACTATGACCCCAGCCTGTGAATTAGCACCTTTGAATTTGCTGGTCTGAACACAGCGGAAAGCCAAAAAATTCATCATCAACACTTACATGGTCTGATCTACAATCACCATGATGCCACTTAACATGCTGCTGATTGAACCAAAAAACAGATTAAAAGATTCTTGAAGTGGGAGAAATTTTTCATTTCAAACATCATAAACATACTAGTAATCCGCACAGGAAGGATTCTGGGCAGGTTTACCACCCACAATGATATAGGCAAATCCTACGTCTGTGGACTTTTGAATCAGATTTACTCACATCTACTGAAATGTTGTTACACGTGGTGACTGTGGCTCAACTACTGGCATTAAATACAGAGTACCAGACAGAAGGACCATAAAGCACAGAGCAAATTCTCTGACCCACTCTGGTTCTACATTTCATCCATTTCAAAGAACTGGTGTAGCAGAAGGTCCCTCCTGGCCATCTAATAAGCAGGCATGCTCGTCCAGACACTTGACGGGCCGAGAGACCGCAGAAGCAGCCTCCTGGAGGGTGATTCACTCAGACGACTATTATTTCAAGTGCGCATAGTCAGCCCACGCCAAAGACTGTACTCAGACCCACATGACTCAGAGAACAAGGAAAAGGCCCACGAGGACTCACTCCACTACCTCACCTTTTCCCAAAGGTTTTGTGGTCTGGGCCCTGAGAGCGTGCGGGTCAGAAACAGTACAACAGGCACCCACCCACCCACCATCAAGTACCTGCAGACAAGTCATCTGGTTTGATTTTAAAGATCTGGTTAACTGCGTTATCTGGGGGCAAACTCACACAGCAGGTGGACACAGTGTGGACCCTGCAGACACACGCCCCCTTCACATGTCCACCCTGCTGCCAAGGGAGACAGTACCAGCTGGTCGGAACCAGGTGCTGAGAATGCCCGTTCGGCGGCCCAAAGTACATTCCGCCCACAGGACTCCAACTTTCTTTTACATTAGAAATGTCCTTTTCCGAAACAGTCAAAATTCAATTTGAGTTTTCTTTAACTAAATACATAAAGTTTGTGAGAATTAGTCAATCCATGACCTTTCTGTACCTTCTCTACATCACTGAATAGTAAAAAATATGAAGCTATCACTATGGTGTGAACATGAAGTGTCCTCCAAAGGCCCACGTGTGAAAGGCTTGGTCCCGGGTTTAGCACTACTGGGAGGTGGGGGAACCTTTAGGAAGTGAGGCTCAGTGGGAGGGCCTCTGGCTATTGGGAACATGCCCTCAAAGGCGATTATGGGACCCCAGTATCTTCCTCGTTTCTTGGTCATGATATGAGCAATCTGCTCTGATGAGCACTCCCCATCACTGGCACCTCACTAGAGACCTCACTAGAGACCCAAAGCAACGGTGACATCTGATCTTGAACTAGAACCTCCAAAATCATGAGCTAAATAAATCTTCGCTAAGTTAATTGCCTTAGGTATTTCACTGCAATCACATGAAGCTGGCTAACATGATTATTTGTATTTAGATGTTTCAAATTAAGACCAAAGGCAACGGAGTTTTTTCCAACCGGTACAAGAATGTGTACATTAAAATGGTCAGATGGAGGAAGAGAGGGGGAAGAGAAAGAGAAGAAGGGAAGAGAGGGGAGAGGACACAGGACCTTCTGCCACGGGACCAAGGGATCAGCTCAGGTGTAATGCCAACGTTAACGTAGTTGAGCTTAGTTGTACTTCCACTAACTGTATTTGCTACATGAGAACACTTGTCTTCTTTTAACAGATGGGTGCTCTCCGAGAAGAACCAGGGTCCAGGGACCATGACACAGTGTCGATAAATAAATAAATGTTAGTTAGCTGGTTGGTTGGTGAGGTTCTGTTCAGTTGGAAACACAGCAGGGACTAATTAATTTTTGCAAATAGTCTGAGAAGCTAAGAACAAACAATTAGAAAAAGGCGTCCATATCCTCCCAACAGTAAAATTCGACATTCACACCACAATTAAACCTCCTAGCCACAACATTCTAAAACCTGGGTGCCTTGTCTTAAAACTCTGCATTTCACAAGTCACATCTCAACATTTACACGGTGTAGGAACTAGAACACTCGGCATCCACAATTAAAACTAAAGGTCACAGGTGAGAACGAATCCCATCCAGAATGACAAGGGGCAAATGGAGAGAAGAAATAAGGAGGAGGAAAAGATTACCATTATGCTTCTTGGACATTTCTGGCAAGTCTGACTGGTGGAACTGAGGTGAGTTTCTTGGCAAAGGATTTTCAGGTAGTTTCTTAGCGGTCTTCAGGGGACAGAGCTCTCGTTCCTTGAGCTCGCCTACGTTCTCTGAAGTTTTAATGTCAGTTTCCTTAGGAAACATACATGTCTGTATTCCCTCCTTCAGACTACATTCTGAAGAAGTATTATTGACAACAATTGTGTTTTTCAGTGTGTTTTCCTCTTTATTCAATAAGTTTTTGGGGAGGGTTAAATTCTTCTGCAGGTTGACACTCATGCCATTTGCATAGTTGAGGCTGACCCAGTTCTCACCCATGACATCGGTGCAAATGTCCTCTTTAGCAGCAGACAGGGAGCCGCCCAGGGTCAAAGTCTGTTTCTCCTCAGTAGCAGTGCTGGCACTGCTGGCCAGGGATGCGCTGGTTTTGTGTTTACTGTAGTACACTGAGCACTTATGCTTCTTCTGAGAGTGACCATAGGTGGCTGGGCTCCTCTTGGCAGCATTCTGGACCCTGTTGGGTGGGGTGCTCACTGGAAGGCAGCTTTTCCCTCTGCCTTTATCAGAAGGGCCGTACGTGTCGAGAAAGTTCTTGCAATTGCTTCTGAATTTAAGATGAAAAACATTTAACATAAAGGCAAACCAGATAAAACCATACTTCTCTGTTTCTGCACCACGAGAAGGAGGAGGCAACCATACAGGTACGCATGTGTTAAGGAGTTCTACCTCCCCTTTGCCTTGGGCCTGTGGGGTTTCTGCCCCGATGACACCCACGAACTAGGCCCTTACGTGAAAATTACCTAAGAAAGGAAATGGTGCAGATGTTCATACAATGACACAAAGAAAGCAAATTTGGAATTGAATTCATATTACCATCAAATAAAATCAGAAGTGAGCAGTAAGAAAGTGGGCTCAGCCCTCCCCAACACACCCACACACAACAAGGGTTCTTACTTGTGAGAATGGGAGCTGATAACATCCACTGGCCCATTGTTCTGCTGTGAGGAGGAGCTGGCATTTTGCCTCTGTCTTGTTTTCATGAATTCCATAAGAATGTACTGTGCTTGCTGGAAGGCTATTAAAATCACACCTAACAGAGACAAACTGAGAAAGCAACATGACATTCATTACTGCATGGTTCTGAATTGCATTTAAAAGACCAGTTTTAAGCTGGATGTGGTGCTAAGTGCTGGAAGTCCCAGCTACACCCAAGGCTCAGGCAGGACAATCACTTGAAAGTACCCAGGAGTTTGAGGCCAGCCTGGGCAATATAGCGAGACCCCTTGTTTAAAAGGGAGGTGGGGAGTGAAAGACTAGTTTTATTATACAAGGATGATGAATAATCAATGTGACAAAATGGTATTCAAATATCAAGAAACATCATAATTTCTGATATTTCTTAACAGTAAAAATGTGCAAATTTATATAAGGCTGACATTACCGTTCAATGTTAAGCATTATTCTAGGATAAAATCACTTCAAAAGGGTCATGTGGGTCTTATAATCTCAAATTGTCACTGTGCTGAGCTAATAAGCATTCAGATATTCCACAATGACTGCCAATGAACATATATGGAACATAACTATTACCTTGTAAGACCTATGAATCTCTTATAGTTAGTTTATTATCTGAAAGCTTACCGGTTATGACCCTGTCTACCTCACGTACATCAGAGTTCTTGAAGCAAGAAAAGTATCCCTCAATTCCTAAGCTTTGACTGCACTTGGGCAATCTGTATTTTCATGCAGCAGCCCTACAACTTCACTGCTCAGTGAGGGAAGAACAGCGGAGAAGGTGGTGGCCTACCTGACAAAGAAGACCGTGAGCCTCCAAAATGATTCCTCCCAGCTGGGTCCTGGAACCACATCTGCACACAAGGGCAAGAGGTGATGGGGCAGGGTCACATTGAGAGTAAAGTGGAATTCCAAGTCTGCTGCAGTTACAAGTGTCAGCTCACGAATGACCCAGGAAGAGGTAAAGTCCGGCGTAAACCTGATAACAAGTAATTCTCCTTTATGAACTTGTAATGGTTTTAATTTTAATCATAAAGTTAAAAAAAAAATTCAGAAAATTTCTTACTTTTATAAAATAAATATTTACCTTAAATCTAACTTAAGAAGTCATAATAATGGAAAAAGTTCACCCCACTCTGTCTCCAGTGTTAAATTCCCACAAAAATGAGATGAAGTTAAAACCCAGAACTTACACAATGCTGATATCACGGGATGTGTTTGGGTTCAGGGAAAACTGATGACAGTCCAGCACTTCGAAGCCATAACCCTGACAATTATATCCATTGATTTTCAGTGAAGACACAGTTATAGGAAGAGGCCCGATATTCTCGACTTTAAAGTTCTTTGTAATAGATAAAATCTGCTTGCTGTCTTTAAGTTCTGATGAAGACAAAAGTATTATTTTATGTATATGAACGGTGAAATTTATTTAAAATAATTTACTGAATTATTAAATTTAAATGAATTATTAATTAAAATGTGAGAAAAGTCCAACATAAGCTCCAAGTACAATTTTTGATTTTTAGAATCAGAATTTCTGATCCTGTTATATCTAGGTTCTGTTAATGTAACCAGGATACAATGGAAGATGTTTTTTAAGTTGAACATTCAGCCTAGGTGCCTACATAATTATTAAAGATTAAGGTTAAAGGTTTATTCTTCTCAGAGCCAAACAGTGTGTATTTACCTCTAACCATCATGTACCTTGTGTGCCCTGTGATTTTCATTCACACTGAACCAATAGTAAGAGCACATAACATGTGTTTTGTGTAAATTCATCCATTACTAGAAACAGTGCAAACACAATATTAACATGTAATTAAACCTTTACAAATAAATGAGAGCATATTTTATATATGGAGTTTGAAGAAGTCACAAATTTTAAATAGGACTATAAATTATCAAGTCTATTCCACATAAGGACTAATATTTAACTGGATCCATCACTTTTCTATCACTCCTTAATTTAATCACTTGGAGTCAACTCTAAATTACTGAGCAAATGAAAAAATGAATACTTTCAAGGAGAATTTTGAAAACGAAATTGCTAGCAAACCTTTCTGAAGTCAGTGCTCACTTGTAAAACATAGTTTTCTTAAAGAAAACAATTCTAATTGAGCAGTGATAGTGCCACAAATTATCCAATAGTTTCATCAACCAGATTTCTCTGTAGAAAAGACTGCTACAACTAAAATGCTTTTAGTATTTTCAAACTTTAAAAAAGTAATAGGAAAACAATTTACCAGAAACACTTTACATCTACTATTTGTTTGATATGTTTTAGTTATTCAGGAAGTCCTCAAAATAAACATAAATGGCTTTAAGGCATTGAACTTAAATGAGTAATTTAGAAATTTCTAGGGCAAAATGTCAATATATTTCTTTTCTGGGAGATGCTGAAGATTAAATATAGGACCTCACTCGTACTAAGCTCGTGTCCTGCCACTGAGCTATATGCCTAGTCCCTAATATATTCCTAAATAAGCATAGTCTAATATAATAGCCATTAAACACATGTAGCTAGTCAAACAATTTAAATAAATTTTAAACTACCAGGCATGGTGGCACATGCCTATGATCTCAGCGATTCAGGAGGCTGAGGCAGGAGGACCGCCAAGTTCAGGGCCAGCCTCAGCAACTTAGCAAGACTCTGTCTCAAAATAAAAAATTAAAGGGACTGAGAATATAGATCAGTGGCAAAGTGCCCTGGGTTCAATCCCCAGTACCAAAAATATAATAATAAATTTAAAATTGACTTTGTCAGTCACAGGAGTCATATTTTACTTTTATGTGTTTATTCTCTTTTTGAAAGGAATAGGATTTGTTCAAGTGTAAAGAACAGGAACAGAACTCTTACAGGGACAAGAGGACCACCCCAACAGGGATTGCCCCACGAGCTATATTTTAGGGGCTCATTAACCACATGTGGTTAGTGGCTACTATGTTGAATGACACATATTATTGTGATATCCATTTGTTACTATGGTTCCTGGCTTATAACATCCCTGCTCAAGGAAGGTCAGTGAAACTAGAACTTCTCTTCCCTAAGGCATAGATCTTCCCTGTCTTTCTGTCTCTGACCTGGCCATAAAGAAAAGCACTCTTTAATTTATCCTTGTCCAACAGTAGGTCCTAAGACCCTCCTCATTCCAGAGGGGTCCTGAGCCGAGAGGCCACGAAGCAGCTGAGCACACAGACCTTACTGGCCTTCCCCACTAAGCCCACTGATGAGGTCATATCCTTTTTGTCTAAGCAAATTTTGACACCAGTGTCCATGCTTTAATCATGGACGTGCAACAGAGTCTCCACAAAAACACAGGGTTTGGGGAGTTTCTGGATAGCTGAACACAGGCTATGGGGAAGAGAATGAGAAACATATTATGTCGGGAGGGCAATGCACCCCAACACTACAGGGACAGAAGTTCCTGCACTCAGGACCCCTCCACACCCCGCTCTACGTATCTCTTCAACTGGCTGCTTTGCCTATATACTTTAAAAAATCCTGTATACCAACAGCATGGCACTTCCTTGAGTTCTGGGACGCACTCTAGGAAGTTAATCTAACCTGAGGAGGGTGTTGTGGGAACCCCAACAGTGGCCAGGCATGTAGAAGCTCCTGAGGCCTGGTCCTGGGGTCTAAAGTAGGGAGTGTCTTGGGAGCTGAGCCCTCAACCTGTGGGATCTGACGCCATCTGATGCGGAATGCTTGCTTGCTGGAGCAGAGAAATCCCACACCTTCTGAGGTCACAGAAGTGACCTGTGGTGGGAACATATGGCAAGAGCCACTGAATTTGAGCTGGTTTTTCCTTCCCTTTCTCCAGCAATGCAGAAACAGAATATTCCCATCATCACGAAAAGTTCGGTTGGTTCTCGCCACTCAACACTGGTCTGATTCTCTTTAGCGAAATTAACAGCCTCATATGTGTATCTTAGCAAATGAAAAATGAACCCAGCAGGGTGCTGGGTTCAATCCTCAGCACCACATAAAAATAAAATAAAGATGTTGTGTCCACCGAAAAATTAAAAAATAAATATTAAAAAATTCTCTAAAAAAAAAATTTGAAACTATACTGTTAATTAAACAATATTACTTAAATAGCACACTCTTTTCCGCATTCTGTATCTGTTACTTAAGCTGAATACCTATCATAGCTATTATTTAAGCTAAATATCTAAAGCTACTATTTTGAACTAGGGTACCAGCCTACATATGCTCAAATGTTGGCCTGATTTAATTATTTTCATCAACAGAATGAATATACTACACATTTTTAAAATAACCTTCCTATAGCATCCTTTTACTGTCGACTTTAACACCAGGCCTCCCATCAGACAGCCAAGCATGTGAACTCACGTCGGCGACAGTCCATCAGCGTGGACTCAGGCACCTTAAATCGAAGTGAACCCCCTGCGCCAGGAAGCCTTCCGCCCACTTTCAGTAGTTCTCTTGCTCCGAATCCTTCCACACCAATTATGTCAATAACAGTCAAGTTATTCCTACAGCGAAAAGAGATAAAATTAAAAGGGATTACCTCCCCGTTACCAGGTACAGTGCATTCAAAAAGAATTAACTTAAAGAGCATGGCAACTCCTGCCATTTCACAGAATAAGGGTGGCCACAGGCACGGGAAGTGGCCCAGGGCAGCAGCATCCACGAAGCTGACCACAGCAGGAGTGGGTGAGCAATCATGACTGCTCTCTAGCCACTGGCCACAAATGGAACCTCAGATTTTTTTAATAATAGGCACCAGGGTGGTGATCAGATATCAAAGAGAAATAAATTGGTAGACACAAATAGTAATAAATTTAGACAAAATAATGAAAACTGCTTACAGGGTGAATTGGGGTATTTCATAGTAATTGTGACAAAAAGACATTCTGCCTTAGGGATGATTCTAGAATAATAAGAGGCTATTGTTTCTTTTGATTCAAAGATTTAAGACTTTACCCCACAAACAGCATACATCTAAGTCAAATTCTTATCAAATAGTAATGAGTGTTTGCATTTTCATTAATTGAAACCCTGATTTCTAGGATGAAAAAATTAAGTGAAAATGATACACACTAAACTGAAAGCCAGTACAATGTAGATGCCACAGAAACGAGAAATTGTTTTATTTTTCTAATTACACAAAATAACACTGAAATATCTCAACATCTTTATTTAACCACTTAAAAGGCTTAAAGTGATAAGGTCTTAGATGATTGATACTATTAATGGAAAAATATTGTGTCTATCAATACGGAAACTACCCAAAGTGAAAGAACTGCTATTAAAAATTTAGACTTTCTTTTTGAGTCTAAGTGAAGTTCATCTCTGCACTTCCTATGACTTAGCTCTTCAACACAAATAAGTTCAAAGCTGACATAAGTCAACAGGGCATTAAGGAATCCTAGTTAAAAGGCTTAAAAGAACAAATTTTTAAGTTTATTTTAGCACACTTTCTTTTTGGTAATATTCACTTGTAGAAGAACAAACTTTAAGGGAAGTTATAAGAATTTTTTTTTTTTTTTGGCCAGTTGATCTGATACTAGAAAAACTTTTTAAAAATCACTAAAATGTCGTTTATTAAAAATGCCATTTGTGTTCGGCTTATCACCAATGCAGAGAGCTCCAACACAGGTCTGTTATTTACTGTATATTTTTGAAAGAAGACTCTCAGAAAGATTACCTAAAGATGAAAAAAAAATTTAAGTTGAAACTGATTTAGCTGCTTAAATCAGTAAGCATTTAGAAGACGGAACAAGAGCTAAGAGCATAAGGAAAACATGTCTTGAAGTGATTTATGTTCAAATACTGTTCAGGGAAAAGACAAAGGGCAAAATTTCAATTATTTTTCTATGCTAAAGACAGAGCAGTCATATCAGTGTGCACGTGTATGCGTGTGAGCTCTGCACTGGGCGAGATGCTGAGTAAAGTGCAGTAAGCCGTTGTAGGTATGAGACACGCTCTCTATTGGGAGAGGGCAACCGAGGTACCTCGATGGCCCCTCTCCTCTGCAGCTTCCTATCCTGCAGCACAACCTCCTCACTACAGAATGCCTGAGAAGTGCATGTCAACCACTAGAGAGATTGAGACAGACAGACAGATTGTGACAGGGACACACCTACCGGATCAGTATGAGTGAGGTAACTTTTCCATAGTCAGCTGGGGTGAAGACTACACCAACCCTTTTCATTTCCAAAGGCTGCAAGTGCAAGTGGAGGGTGCCAGACCTGGGTTCCTCAGAATGCACACCCTGCAGATTACCAACAACACAGTTAAACAACTCGGTTGTCCACGGAGCAAGTTTCCATGTTCATTAAGTGCACTGTGGGGTATAAAAACATGATGGCTTTTGTTTTAACTTCCAGATCTGACCAATCTCATCAACTTCGTGTGCGTATGAGGGGTAGGGGTGCTGGGGGATGAACCCAGGACATCACATATTACACGGGATAGGCAAGTGCTCTACCGCTAAGCTCTACTCCAAGGCCCTCATCCACCTATCTGAACTTGTTTATCCTGATGACTTCACATGATAAAATGTTCCTAAGCTGATAGGCAGAGGCTGCAGGGCAATCTGAAACCAATGCTGGGAAGGGGATCTGCTTCCTGGCTTGGATGGGAGTTGAGGGTAGAAGTCCTCCATACAGAGATGTTTCAAATGGAAAACATCAATCAGAAAACTGACCAGAATGTCTCTGTCCAAATATGTCTTTGCCCAAGCAATATGAAAAGACCACCCACCCTCTGCTGGACAACCCTAAGATACCTTTAAATACTGTACTTTAAGTTTATATAAAGAAACCATCTTTTTTTTATATTCAGTCTCTCCAGTCAAGAGAAAGATCTTTATTTCTTCACATCCCCCTCTACTCTGGATTCTCCAAGATTTCTTTCTCTGAAAAATCTCATGTCCTAAATTTTAATATTTGAGATTTACTTCTTTATCTTCCTGCTGCCTTCTCTCTAGAAACTATTTTTTAGAGCTGTCGTCCTACAAGCTGCAGGAGTATTTCTGTTTCCTATGTTTTCAACTTTTAAACTTGTGGTACTCTTCAAGTCTTGCTCTCACGTCCCATGCTATCTGAGAAGAATAAATGGTGATGGTATTTGATTCATTCATTAGAACTATTGAACTCCAGGGAGCAGAAAACCCTGCTTTATACACAGAATTAAAACACTGAACAAAAATGTTGCTGATTTCTGGTATTAAATTTATAGTAATTATAACACCATTTAATCAAATGTTTTTTTTGGTAGGTGCACGCCAGGTATTGGACTACTTAAGAAAATGTAAAAATACCAAACAATCTATTTTACAAAGCTTACTGGAAATCTTCAAACATGAAAGATGAGGCTCAGAGAGGTTAAATAATTTGTCCAAGCAAGGTTACACAGGTGAAGCATGGAAAAACCGGGATTCGAAACTTTCAGTGTCCAATTCCATACACTCAACCCATTAAAGTCCCTGGATCCTATATATAAAACACCCATAAAAACTTGCTCAATTTAGGTTTTTATATGTGTCCTATACATAGGACACTGGGACATAATGAAATTGATCAAAAGGACTGTATTTCTAAAGCAAACCAACAAAATTACAATGCAAGAATCTTTCTCTACCCTACAAAGAGTTTTAACAATTTTTATTAAAATTGAGTGTCTTCACGGCACTAATACTATTCTTTTTGACAATATAATAAGTTAACAGTGGTCAAAATTTTCCTTATTGCAAAAGTGTGACATTCTTTTTTTGCTACAGTGTTTGAACTCAGTAGCACTTTACCACTGAGCTCCACCCCCAGTCCTTTTTATTTTTCATTTTGAGACAGGGTCTCACTAAGTTGCTGAGGGTTTCAATGAGTTGCTGAAGCTGGCCTCAAACCTGTGATCCTCCTGCCTCAGCCTCCCAAGTTGCTACAGAGTGCATGCCCCTCAGGAAAAATCTACACAGGTTTTTCCAAATGAGCTATATTATGCGTTCAAATATAACTAGAATATTCAGATATAAAAGAAAATGGCCTTATTTTTTCAATTTCAAACTACATATAATTTAATACCAGTATGGCAAAACATCTCTTAGTATTTTGGACTAACTGCCCCCCATACTCTAGATACTGCCTGGTAGAAAATGTCAGCAACCCTGGGATTCCGAAGGAGAACAAAACCACACCCCAGTGTAGGCTCCAACCCTGGCAGTGCTGCCTAGACCACTTCACATGCTTACTACTGTCAACAAGTCTCTGTCAAAAATCCAACTTGGAAATCTGCTTTCATTTATTTTGTTTGAACTCTTATTAGAGGTCATCTGTGGTCCTCTTCCCATTACTCCAGTTAAGCTAGAGCAATAGTATACTTTTAAAGGGATAGAGAAGAAAAATAAGAAAATATCCAACATATTAAGTGTGCGTGTACCTCTATGTGTGTGCATTCTTTATAATAGATGCTCCCCTTTTGAATTGATTTCAAACATACAATATCTGTGAAACCAAGACTCAGCAATATGAGACTACTGAATGAAAAATAAGATATCAGGCTGCTGAGTCCCTACGCTCACAATGTCCTCGCCACGTGACATTTTTACTCCTAAGTATCTGAAAAGACCTCATGATTGCCCCTTAAGATGGGAAATCCCTTTATAAGTGAGATGAGAACCAAAGAAATTGGGTGACTTGCTATAAACATGAAGGATGACAGAGAAGATTTTAAAAATGCATTTGCTTTTACCTTATCTTGCCCTAAAAAAAAAAAAAAAAAAAAAATAAGGGCGACGAAATCTTATGAGATCATAAATTCTGGAGTCTCAAGTTTTATGGTTTTCTGCATAGGTCTGACTCCACTGTTATTTCTTCATTCACGTGCATCTAAATCATCAAAATGATTTACAGACTAACATGAATCTGACTCTAACTAGTTAATTGGAAAAACCTGCTATGCATCTTTCATGCCTAGAGAATGAAAATAAGAAAGCCACACACAGTTCACACAGCCATCTGAACACCAAGACAGGGGCCACGTGCTTCTGTGGCCAGTTTGTCAACATTCTTTTTTCTACTGAAAATGCCATCCTACCCGGTAAGAGCAAGCTTTGGTGAGCTGGAATTCACCAGTTGTGAAATTAATCGTCTGCATATCAGTGCCAAACCTACAAAGCAAAAAAAAAAATAATAATAATTTTAAGTTTAAAATAGCATTGAGATCTGCCAATGAAGAATGAATACATAATACATGCTTATGCACATGCACATTTACACACAGGAATGCATGTGTGCACGCATAAACAACTCATCCTGTCTTGACACTACCCGTCTCAGCCCTGCTTCCACACCCACCCATATCTGGTTTACTCCAAGTGCTCAATGAATCTTATTCAGTGAGTGACTCTGACATGCTCCTTGGCAGTACAGAAACATATGGAGACAAAAGTGCTAAGTATAAAGCTGTTTATTTCTTCTCCAAATGGTTCACAGCTATGAAACCCAAAAGGAAGTGATTCTCAACCAAAGGCAATTTTATCCCCACCCCAAAACATTTGGCAACGTCTGCAGACATTTTGGATGCTGTGGCTGGGGAAGCCCTTTAGGAGGTAGAAGCTGGAAAGCTGCTGAACAGCCTTCACTATACAAGACAGCTCTTCCTCCAACACACAAAGAATCATCCGCCCCAAAATGTCAACATTGCTGAAGTTGAGAAATCTGGGGACAACGGCACATCTTCCTAAACGAAAAGTTACTAACGGTCTACATAAAAGTGTGATTATGTGAAAACAAGATACAATAGGCATGAAAAAATACTATCATTCTCTTGTTTAACTCTAGAGTAGAATATACAAGATCACTAAATCTGTCTTTCTTTTTGTGGCACTACTGACTGAACCTTAGGCCTTGTGCGTGCTAAGCAAACACTCTATTCCTCTCTGTACCCATGGCCCTCTTATTTTATTTTGAATCAGGGTCTTGATAGTTGCCCAGGCTAGCCTGGAATTCCCAGTCCTGCTGCCCTAACCTCCTGGGCAGCTGGGATTGTGGATATGCCACTGACCCTGGCTTTAAACTCATTCCTGAATTAACCAAAGATCATCATGATTTAGATTCTCAATTTTAGAAATATGCATGAAAAAGCATAATGATAAAGGTTCCCTAATTCAAAAATGCTCTGTTGGGCTATAGACCCAAGGCAGTGACAGGGAAGGTGCCAGGTAACACCCAGAGCCAGGAACATCCACTGAATACCTGCATCCAGGGACAGGGCACCCCAGATACACAGGCTGATGGGTTCACAGTGTGTATGCCCACATCCAGAGCCTGGGAGAAAGCAGCACAGGCCTTCCAACAATTCTGAGTCCTAAGAGTGTTTCCCAAACTGCCCACCAGAGGGTCTTCTTACCATTTGTGCAGCAGGCGTGCCGCGGCTTCGGGTTTCGGGTACAAGGAGAGAGGCAGGAGCTGCAGGGAGACTGGCAGCGAGGACGGGTTCCTCACCATAAAGTACTTCACCTAGACGCGAGGAGAGGAGGGTTAACACAGTGAGGGGCACAGCATCCTCCCAAGACACTCCTGAATCTCATCACAACTACGTACAGCTCCAACAGAGGGGCAGCTTAGAAAATCAACGGCTTGAACCCTTCAAGAAAATGTCCGTGTGTGGGCGGGGCTGGAGCTCAGTGGCAGAGCACATGCCTAGCGCACCACATTAAAAAAAATAAACATACATAAAGGCATTCTGGCCACCTCCAACTACAAAAGTTTTGTTTTTTTCAATGTCCATGTGGGCTGAGGGTGTAGCTCCGTGGTAGAGCAAGTGCTCTGCACAGGATTGATCCCCAGCACCAAAGGGAAAAGAAGAGAAAAAAAATGCTATGTCATGAAAGGCAAAGACATGATGAGAATATCAGAAAAGACTCGGACTACCATGACAATGCAGTCATATCCTGGGGTCATCCTGAGCCAGGAGGGAGGAAAGTCACCATGAGTTGTGATAGTGAACTCCCCTAGAGAAACTAGAATACAGACTGTACATTGGATAACATTAGGTTAATACTTCATTTTATAATTTTGATCACTATAATCTGGCTATATAAGAAAATACTTTTATGGGGGGGCTAATGTTTTATCCTCTCAAATATGTACATGTGAAAAGGGAGAGGGAACGATGATTAAGCAAGCATGGCAAACATTAAATACTGATTCATCTTGGGGAAGGGCCACTACTGGGAGTTCTTGGTGCTATTCTTAAAACTTTTCTCTGGGGAGAAATTACTTCAAAACAAAAAGTGAAAAGGAAAAGCAAAAGCAGTCTTAGGTTGTCATCCCCAAGAACTCAACAAGCACCTATTAAGGTGTGCGCTCTACTCAGAGCATGTGTGAAGGCAGTTCCTGGCCATGAGACCTAACGGGAAGTCTGCTGGTGTCACCTCTTTCCCTTTCTCCCGCCTCCTGACACCCTGGGTGGACGGAAGATAGCATCCACAAGGAAGGAGGACAACACACTCAGGATAGAAAGTACAAAGACGGGCGGAGCCTAGGTCCCCACCGTCACCAGAGCAGCCTGGCTCACTCTGGACTTCCTTTGAGTTCTGGTTTTAAAACCAAGTCCTGTGTTAGCCAAGATCTTCTCTGTGCTCAGTGGCTGAATGTTTTAACTCATACATTTTATTTAGGAAGTTCATATTCAATTCCAAATCTCTTTGTTCAATGCATTCTGTCTCCTTAAAATTTCACTCCTCTTGTTCTGTAGGGCCTTACTCAAGGTGCCCTTATAGCATTAAAGTGTGGACTTTAAATTGATTTTGGTTCTGAAACATCTCCAGGCAGAATTACTCTGGTGTTCTGAAGACCTCAGCGTTGTGGTGTCACTGGCAAAGACAGGGGAAGAACACACTGTCCTCACCACACTGTTCCTAAGGGCAGTTGCGCTGAAGTTTAACACAAGGCCAGGCTCCGCAACCAAACGAGGCAAAACGGAAACAAAGGACTCTGACTCCTTGGGTTTCTTCGAGTGGGCGAAACGCATCATTCCTAAAACATTCCTCCTGTGCAAAGAAATTATTTTGGAAAATAATTTTGACATTCAAAAGGAAAATCATTCAACACCACTCCCACCACAAGGAACAAAGGCTCCTGGGGAAAATGGCGTGTGCTGGGTTTGGGAAGCAGGAGGTCTCAGACTGACTCTCTGTGGAGACTGAGGGCACAGCTCGGTGACAGGGTGTGTGCTTAGCAGGCATGGGGTCTTGGCTCAATTCCTGGCAATTCCCCCAAACCACTCAACCTAGAATGTTCTGTTCCCATGGAGAGCATGAAAGGCTCCGAGAATGATGGAGCAAAAAGGCACACAAGCCACGCTGAAGGGCCCCCATGCCAAACTTGGGACAATTGAGCATCAAAAGCAATAAAGACAGTAACTGAGTACAACATGCTAACAAAACTATAGGGATGCTGGAAAAAAGAGAGGCTCTTTTTTAAAAACAAAACAAAACAATATCTCACAATAATTGTAGAATGGACAAATGGAAACATCCCTCCCCATCTTACAGCCATCAGGCTAACGTCACTGATTCGGACAGTGATGTTCTGTGAATTCTAAAACCATGGGATGAAAGGTCTCTAGGGAATGGCAAGGGTAAATGATATCAGATTATCACAACCCAGCTTTTGATTAATCACTAAAGGAAAAAGGTGGCGAATGTGGAGAGACCTGTCACACATCAGCTACACCACATAATTCACCCTAACCATGCTAAACAGACAAATTAACATTCACATACCTCCTGATGGGACACAATAATAGACAAGACCAACCAGGTAATTCACATTCTTGCTAAAAATGTTTAAACTGAATGGAAACTTGAGGAACCAAGCATAAAAACTGATAGTGTGGAATGTTCTTACAACTGGCCTGGATTCCACAAAACTTGTCAACATGATGAAAACTGAACAAAAAATGGGGCACTATTCTAAAGGCTACCAAAAACCAAGACAGTCAAATGCAATGCATGGTCCTTGGATGGACCTGGTCTACAAGAAAGGAAAAAGACAAAAATAGAGTTGCTGGGTCAATCAGGATAATTTTAATACAGACTGCCTATTAGATAACACAATTATGTCAGGGTTGAGTGAGCTGGGGAAAGAATGGTGGTACAGTTAAGAGAATACCCTCCTCAGGAAATAACTTCCCAAGAAAGCACTGTGGGCTGAAGTAGAATAACAGCACTTTCCTAATAAAGCACAGAGGACTGAAGTATGCTGATAATGAAGATTTTCCTAATAAGATATCGAGGGCTGGAGTAGGGTGATATTTACAGCTTCACTTTCAAATAACTCAGCAAAAAGTGTGACTATGTGAATACAGGTATACACAGAGAGTAGGGGGAGGGGGTAAAATGGGAACACAGGGGACAAACTGGAGCCAAGGACCATGTGAGGGGTCAAGGCACTAACCCTGCAGCTCTTCTAAGATGTGAAACTTTGTCAAAATAAAAAGGTAGAAATATCGTCAACCACCAAAAATTAAGGAGTGCAATTTGAAAAAAGGACCATGTGGTAGTTTTCCCCCACTGCTCAACAACAGAGAGAGGAAGATGAGAGACACACCTGCAGACGTTGCCACTCTTGTGTTTCTTCCAACTTTCATACAAGTTATTTGCAAGTTCCAAATCCACATCCCAGGTAGACCAATCCAGAGAAAGGGCCCCATCCCAATTAGGATTTTCTAAAAGTTAGATCAGATTCAATATTTAGATTTACAGAAAGTACGACTCAATTCGTTAATAATACCACGAACTAACCGTTAGACTTCTCAAACTGAGAGGACGGTAGAGTGAATCAATGCCACTCTTCTCCTCTCTTCTTTACTAAAAGTCCCTCTAATTCAATGGCAAATGATATATCAAATTAAACAAACATGTAAAAAACAAAACCAAATCGATTATGTAAAGGCATTAACATAAAAGACACATGGTTCATGAATACAGCCTGAAACAAGTTAAAATTATATACTTGCAACATTTTTAACAGTTTTAAATCTAAAATGCAAAACTGTTTCTATGGACATGTTCCTCATCACTGTCTGAGTCTTTCCACATACTGTAGAATGCCGAGGGAAAAGCCCACCTAGACCAGGAGCTGATCCTCTACAAGGTACATGTTGTTCACCTCACCCTACTCATCTGCTCTGTGCTAAAGAGGGGATCTGTAAGAAAAGGTGGGACTCTCCCAAAAGAAACATCTGTCCTTTAAAACTCTTTTAATTATCTTAATAAATCAAAATGCAAAAAATAAAAATAAAACCCCAAGTTAGAAACTGCTTCCATAACAACACTAATGGCCTCTGTCACACATCATGATCAGCACTGCCTATGATATGTTTATGACTCTATCATCTAAGCTCTTTTACAAAATAATCATGATTTTCTAATTTTTCCTGGTGACAAGGCTGCTCTGATGATCAAACAATATTATTTTTAAAAAATCCCTTTAAAAAACATAAGCTACTTAAGAATAAAAGGGCATTATTTACACAGTACCCTATGTGTGTCTTGAGGACTCTAACAATTTCAGGTTGTTCTGTCAGTGATTAAGCTAAGAACAGAATATGATGCAATTACTTTTGAAAAAAATTATTCCATCTACAAATGCTAACATCCTTCACTGCTTCCCACTTCCCCCAAATTGGAGTTCTACAGAAAGCCTAAGGGCAAAATACTTACCTGCTTTTGATTTTCCCATGAAATAATGCATGCCACAATGTGCTATCACTTCAAAACCCAGACTCCCTTCCTAGATTGAAAAGTAATATATGAATAACTTAAAACACAACACTCAACATAAAAATCCCAATGCACTAAAATATGAAGCAGACACTGGCCTCCTCCTCAGTGAACTCCCCTTTAACCAGATGTCAAACAACTAGAAAGTGATGTCTTGGTTTCCTTTCTCCTTGAATCTGTTCTGAGAACTCGGCGCCATCTCTCCCAGAAGGGCCACTAGAGCAGCTCCTGCACAACCATTACAGCCCATAATGACAACCTTTGGGCCCACAAGACACAGCGCTGTCACGTGAATTGAAGATGAAATTAGTTTCAGGACATTCCTAGTGGCTTCTGTCTTTTTGATTTTTTGTTTGTTTTTAACTGTCCTCTAATCCTCTGAGAAACTGTCTATCCATCTAAAGAACTTCTTGCTACTCAGGGCATTTAATGCTCCACTTCTCAGTTTTGGGAAGAACAGACTTGCTACTTCCTCATGCACCTGAAACCTGTTCTCCTGCTCCCTCCCTTGGTCACTCTTCTTATATGCATCTCTTGTTTAGAAAAAGGAAATTTCTAAGAAATCTTCCCTGCTCAAAATATGGATAAATGAAATTAGCTTTACATTTTTGTTGAGTTTGATTTGCAAGGTCCTACCTTCACACTTACAGCCTAAACATGAGCATTTCTAACTATAAAATATCAACACCAATAAGTGAGAAAAATCATAAAGATGGTTGCATGAATGTCTCATAGTGAAAAATTAGAACCCAATATTATATAGAATAGCCTGGATCAAAAGGAAGCAATAATAACTAAATGAAAAGAAAAAAAACGTTAAGAAAAAAATGAGACATGATTAAGATAATCTAAATTAAACACAATTTACCCAGATTTTAGAAAACATTCTCTTGTGAACTCTTAGGCTTTCGACTTGTCCCATTTAAGAAAATTCAAGGATTATAAGCAAAACTCAAAGTCACTTAAAAAGTGGTCTACCTAAAGCATTTAAACCAACGTGATTTATCTCAAGGCAAGGCCCTGAGTTTCATCCAAGGCACCACTATATTAAAAAAAATTTTTTTTTTTTTTGGAAACAAATGAAAATGAAATCTATTTACATGCTTATCTTTCAATAATCAATTGCTTCATGAAAAATAGACTCTTTCCAAATAAAAATTTCCAAATCTGAAAAAACTGATCTAAGATTGGCCTGGTAATGGCCTTCAATTTCTTAGGTAGCCTTAAAGAACATGAACTTAACCCTGTTAATAAAACCCAAGCACCGTAAGTAAAAAGAAACAATAATTATCAAGAAATTTATAACACACATGGTGTTGTAAACAATACCTTGGTTGGTGCTGAGAAAATCTGTAGAGGTACTGCAAAAATGGCACCTATGTTTGTAGTCAAAAATACATTGGTGAATAGATTTATGGCAATGTCTTTAACAGCAAGTTTCAAAGAAAATATATTCCAACAGCCTGGAGGTAGAAATAAAGGGCCAGTGAAATTCAGAATCTAAAAAGAAAAGAAGCAAGAGAGATTACTTTTCCTAACACTGATTAGGATTAAAATAATTACAAAGTATGATGTTGAAGTTCTTCCATATTTTGGAAAAGCACAATTTGACTCAATTCATTCCAGATCAAGGACGGAAACATTTCTTATAGAAATGATAGGTTTCAAATACTGCTTAATATGCCCGTATTTTAAATTTCACAAAAGTAATCTTCAAGTGATCATAAATGGCATTTTCAAAAGCCTACTATATTTTACCACAAATAAGGTATATAATTACTATACATAATCTTGTTTATAGAAATCATGTATTATAACATTTTTGAGTAATAGTTAAGAGTAAATATTCTTACAGAATATAATGATGCTCATTTTGAGATCCATGAAACTCATTTTGAGATCCATGAAACAATTGCGTTTGAAAAAAGAGAGAGATCCTAGAAGTAATTCTAAAGGTTTTTAAAGAAAAAGAGTTGCTTTAAAAATAGGTCAAAATTAATGAGTTTTTTTGGGGGGTGGGGTACTGGGGATTGAACTCAGGGACACTCAACCACTGAGCCACATTCCCAGCCTTTTTGTATTTTACTTAGAGACAGGGGCTCACTGAGTTGCTTAGCACCTCGCTTTTTGCTGAAGCTGGCTTTGAATTTGTGATCCCCCTGCCTCAGCCTCCCGAGCCGCTGGGATTAAAGGCATATGCCACCACACCCAGCCAAAATTAAATTTTATAGATATGAATTTCATCACATTTGACTTTGAACAAAGCTTAAAATAGGTTAACACTGGAAGAAAAACACCATACATACCTTTAAAATGTGCCTAGCCTCCTTGGAAACAAACACATCCTTTAACACAATGTTACGGTCAAAATGGTTGAGGTACCATATTGACCACACTCCTGATGTGTTCTCATGACTCTCCACATGAAACTGGGCTGCAGAAGGGTCCACTCTGAAATACCTGTGAGCAGAAGACACGCATGCCATCAGCCCAAGTGCAGAGAACCCCAGCACTCCAGGGAGATCCAGGTGCCAACGGGGGATGCCACAAGATATTATGGATGCTGCCAACGACCACAACAATCACCTCCTGAACCATCTGTTCGCATCTGCAACACCTGAGGGCCAGGACAAAGTGGCCCCACCATGACCAGGGCAGCTAATGGAGGCTACCAGGACAAAAGCAGGACCCAAATTCTACTCAGAAAACACCATCTAAGCACTCCTTCCCACACACCTGGCGGCCTGGCCCAGAACCTACTTCAGACTGAATTATTTAGTTACTCTTTCCCATTCTGCCAAGGCACCTCTCCCTGCTTATTAGCAGTGTGAATGCACAGCAAAGAAAGTCCAGGAAAAGACCCATAGGACTCACATGAGCTATAGTTCTGAAGACCTACTAGGGGAGGAAAAAACCCCATATGACTTCAGGGAAAGCAAAATGAACCTACCCCTGCACCACCGGAGAGGAGAGGCATGCTTCTAGTGTTGGAGTGATTTTTGATTTCTTCACATCTTCTATCATCCCACTGCCACAGGACATAGCTGCTTTAGATATTTAAAAAAATTTTTTTAAAGTGAAGCATAAATATTTTTTCTTTCATTAAATCTGAACAAAAAATAAGGTATAGTTTTTATAACTTTTTCTTAAAAGTTTTTTTAAAAATTTTTTTTTAGTTGTAGACGGACATAATACTTACATTTATTTATTTTTATGTGGTGTTGAAGATTGCCTCACACATGCTAAGCAAGCCCTCTACCACAGAGCTACAGCCCCAGCCCAAGTTTTTATTTATCACTTTTTTTTTTAAAAGAGTTTTTTCTTTTTTATTATTATTATTATTTATTTATTTATTTTTATTTTTTTTTTTTTTATTTTTTTATTTTTAGTTTTCGGCGGACACAATATCTTTGTTTGTATGTGGTGCTGAGGATCGAACCCGGGCCGCGCGCATGCCAGGCAAGCGCGCTACCGCTTGAGCCACATCCCCAGCCCTATTTATCACTTTTTAATTCATTTTTTATCACCATTAAAATAGTGAATCTTGTATATATGGCAGCATGCTCTCTCAAATGCCCCTGTCTATCTCCACTAGCTTGTTCCAGTTATCTGGAATATGGTGTCTACCTCCCACCGCTCCCCCTCTCTAAACCAATCTCTCAATTTTTTCCTGATGGGAGGGGGTGGGTCATTACTTGGGGATTTCTTTTACAAAGATCTGTCTTCATCATAAATAAGAGGAAAGTCCTTAGATCTGCCAGATGACAAAAGTGAAAAATGAAGCTCACTGGTGTTGAATCTTAACTCTCCTTTTTAAAGTTATACATATGGTGCAAAAACAGAAATTCAAATACTCAAACAAAAAATGTGATTCTAATGTGAACTTTGCCCAGACTTTGTAATTATCTTAGGAGAGGCAACTGCTGGCACTTTCTTAAGCACTGTCCAGGTGTTCTGTGTATATACAGGCATGCAGACACACTTTCAAACACCTACACGTCCACATACAGCTTGCACTGTATCTCCACGGATCCATGGATTTTTTTTTTTTTTTTTTTTTTTTTTTAATTTGTGGTGCTGGGGATTGAACCCAGGGCTTTGTGCATGCGAGGCAAGCACTCTACCAACTGAGCTATATCCCCAGCCCCTGTGGACACTTTTCACATACTGCTTGCACTGCATATCCCTGGACACTTTTCAGTAGCTCCAGGGTACACCCTTCTATAGATGTGCTCAGGAGTCACCTAACAGTGGGTGCCTTAGATTGTTCTGTTGTCACAAAGAACAGGTTCAGGTTTGTTCTGGTTGTAGCTGTCGTTTGAGATGGGGTCTTGCTATATTGCCTAGGTTGGCCTCAGCCTATGCTCCCATCTCAGCCTCCCAAATAGCTGGTTCTATAGGTGTGCACTACCACACCCAGTCTAGGTACAATTTTGAATACTAGATGAATAGATCTGTAGAATCATTCCTAGAACTAGAATTAAGGATTGAAGAGCACATATGTGCATTTTAAATATTTAGAGACTGTCAATTTTCCTTCCAAAACAGCCTGCATTAACTTATATTTCAGTGAAAACTTCAACATGTTTTCTTTCCTAATCATTACCAACACAGAATATTAACGACCTTTCGCTCTTTATTGATCTAAGTAATAAGCTACATCTCATTTGTTGCTTTAAATTACATTTCTTTAACTATGAGTAAGGCTAGGCATGTTTTCCTATCCCTTTGAATTCCTTTACAGAACTCTTTTTAACCGTAAGAACCCAAAGACAGGACTGGGTTTATGTCACTAGACATTCTGCATCACATTCTATGCAAAAAAAAAGAACAAAATTGGAGCTACACAACTACACTACCTGAGAAAGTGGCCCCTCCAATAAACACATACCTCTGGATCCTGCAAATCACCAAGTTAAGCTTTAAACTCAAAATCCTATAGCAAAATACACGTATCATCAACAAGAGCTTTGATGTCACCCTATCTCTTAGAAACATTAGGTCTGTGGTTTATTAAAACCAAACCCATTTGCTTTTTTTTAAACCATGCCTCAGCTGTAGTTTGAGTACCTACACAGAAAAAATTACCAAACAAACAACTAGATAACAAACAGAAAAAAAAAAAAAAACACTCCAATATTTTTAAAATGTGTACCTTTGCAACTAAAAGAGGCGATCTTTGTAAAGTTTGTCGTAGAAGTAGGCAGCAGGACTGGTTCAAACTGAAGAGACAGAGCATCTCTCTGTGAGAAATGATGTACATCCTGTAACAACAACAAAAAGTCCACATTACTACTCTCAGCCAGAATACTTACCCATTCCAAACCCACTCTGTTAAAATAAGTAAACAGCAGAGACTGTATACCTAGCAACTGCTCAGCAGATGTGTCTGTCACAGCAGGGAGAGGGTGCTGGCACCCACCCTCCAGATAAGGCTTCAAGTAAAAGAATGGCTTTAAAGGAGAGCAAAAGAGAGTGTGTGCAACTGTTTCCACATCTGTCCTGAAAGACCCTCATGTTCTGCAATCTGATGCACCCTTATGATTTCAAGTTCTACTTTGTATGAGAATTCATAATTTATAATTATAATTTAAATTATAATTATAATTTATAATTACCTGTATCCATATAAGGCTGTTTCCTGAATGTAATATATACATATTTACTGCTGATTCATCTGTTCAAAAGAATCAGAACAATGAGATTAAAACAAAGAGCCATCTCATCTCCACACCTTAATGATTAAACATTCCTAATAACTTCTTTTTTTTTCAAAATGGAAATCAAAACTGGGAGCCATTTTCTTCTATGTATTCTTTTAAGTCACACAAAAAAGATCCTTACAAAAAGGCCCGATACCATCAGCTCTTAAAATGGTGTACAAGAGTCCGGAAAGAAATTCTGAATTTAGGGTCATCTGATCTTTTCTACATCACACTAATCACCTGGACAGCTTCAAATAAAGCTGTTTTCCTGCTGCTTGGGCACCCCTGCATTTCCTTATTTAGACAACTATATTCAGAAAGAATGAAACTCCTGGCATCTTAAAACACATGCTTCCTTTTAGCCTTTACCAACGGAAAAGTTCCCCATGGGGCAGGGGCCTTCTCCACATCGATGTCTACCTGGCCATCACTACTCTGGCCAATTCTAGGACTGGAAGTTAAATAATGTTTGACTGACAAGACTGCCAACAGCACTGGGGTGCAGCTCAGTGACAGAGCACGCACTTAGAATGCATAACGCCCTGGGTTCAGCCCCAGTACAAAAAAACAAGACTGCTAATTAAAAAAAAAAAAAATGAACTATGCTTTTGTATACGTTTGTACCATTTTTAAAAATATGAATACACATATACACTCACATACTGTCATAACCAAAGAATTATAATAAATCCCACATTATGAATTTCACGGATCATAGGATGTGTGTCTCCTACAAAAGTTCTTAGAAAGTTAAACGGATGAATAGGTTGTTTCTGATAAATAGGACACCTACATCCAGAGGTTAAATTCATAGAACCGAACACAAAAATTTTACTCTAACTTGTCAGGCATCCAAGAATAACCAGCCCCCAGCTATTAAGATACAAAACAGCATGACTTGTTAACAGAGCCGCCATGCAGTAAAATTGAAATAAAGAGCCATCAGACTTCAAACACTGAATATTTAGACTACCATGGCCATTTGATTTGTTTACTATCTTCAAAACATTAAAAAAAAAAAAAAAAAAGCATTTACAAGGAGACTCAGAACAGTCTGCAATAGTCATTTAAGCTCCTTCCCCAAATAATATAGCCTGGTTAATAGCTGCAGGCTGAGAACCAGTTACTGTTACACTCCCTCCCCCACCCCCCCCCCCCCCCCCCCCCCCCCTGGTGATTGAACACAGGGTGCTCTACCATGGAATTACAAACCCAACCTTTCTTTTTTTTTTTTTAATTTTAAGACAGGGTTTCACTAAGTTGCCCAGGCTGGCCTTAAACTTGCAATCCTCCTGCCTTAGCCTCTTAAGTACAATCTACAAGTAAATGCTATCAAATGATAATACAAATTAATCAAAATATACCATAATGAATTTCCCCCCCTTTGGCAAAACTGGGGATTAATCTCAAGGTCTCAAGCATGCTAAGCCAGCACACCTACAATTGACTACATCCCCAGCCCTATGATGAAAATTTCTAAAGATTTCACCTTACCTGAGGTCTCAGATTTATCTGTTGCTACATAAACAATAGAGAGATGATCTAACAAATCTTGTGTGTTTTCTTCAAATTCTTTTGAGGAATTTTCCATTGTTACAATTATGTTCATTCGTAAGTGCAAAACATCATCAGACTCCAGATAACAATTCTGCGATTGAAGGGAAGGAGGGGAAAGTGAAAACTCAAAAAATTATCTGAACTTTGCAATGCCAATTTTTTAAAAAGAAAAGCACTTAAGATCATGGCATCTTCATTTCCAAGGACAGACAGACTGACTGGTTTTCTGTTATTCCTGTTGGTTTTTTTAAGTAGAGAGACAGGAAGAAGGAAGAAATACTAAATATCTTACCTTTAATTGCTGACACACTTTATTATGTAAACTGCATTCCAGCTGCACTTGCAAGAGGCTACTATTAGTGGTTTCTGCCTACAAGGAAAAAGAGGGGAAAGAACTTTATAAAGGATGTAAAAAACACAATCCAGCATTAATAATATACTATTCATCATTTATTCAGAAACCACATTCATTCATTTATTCAACAAATATTTGAGTATCTGCTAAATACTGGGCATTATTCTGTTTACTGGAAATACAACAGTGTGCAAAACAGAAAAATTAGTGCTGGGTTTACTTTCTAAAGGAAATCACAAATTCTTTCTTGGGCAACATGAAAATTCTCAGCATGGCAATAGGCAGGTGAATATGTTCTAACTATACATAGAACACCGTAGCTTCAGCGTTTCCAATGCATGTTGAACATTCTGTTCAAATGCTGGAGTTTGAAGTAGGTTTACACAGTAACAGTCAAATAATTGTTTTCAAGTGTGCCTTCTATCCGTACCTTTAGAAGCCATGACCCTGACCCTCAAGTCAGACAAAACTATAAAAGATAATACCCACAATTAAACTAGCTATCATTTTTAATATCGGAAGTGCTATGGGGGGAAGAGACCAAACTATGAGAAAAGAATGCAGGACTTTGTCAGGTTCCAAGGTCTTAGGCACATGGAACAATCCCAACCTCTCTGCAAGGAAATGAAAAATCCAATCGAGGGACACAGCCGTTTGGGTAGGAGGGTAGGGGCTGCAGACAAATGTGAATACCCTGGATATTAAGTGCAGCATGTGAATCTGAAGAACCTGGGCCATAAAACTTCCTCAAGTTTGACGTCTCTGGCACCAGGACTCTATGTACTTGACCTGGGAACACGTCAGAGCATTGGGAAATCTCAGCTGGGTAAAACACACTCCCCAAACCTAGGCTGCCTTACACAGTGTGTGAGCATCTGTGAACTCCAGGAAGATGCATTATGAAGCCGACTCACAATCATGTAATATGTAAGACTTACTCAAGTACATATATAGAAAAACATTCTAGGGGCTGAGGGTGTAACTCAGTGGTAAAATGTGTGCTGAGCATTTTTGAGTCCTTGGTTTCAATCCCCAGCTGGGGGGGAGGGGGGTATTACTTCAGTTGTCAGACAGTTTTAGTACAGAAAAGAATAAAACACACTACATTTTAAAGGTAATAAAACTATGTACAGTGAAGCCAACCTTATCAACGGGACCAAATGTTAGTCAAAGGCACTTTTCAAAAGTTGCTAGTAACCACTAGTTTTCTTAAAGAGAATAATAAGATTTATACAGCGAACCTAAAATCCTAAGAACTCGATTTTTAAATTTGTCTTTCTTATGAAAAAAATCCCTCCACCAAGGACATATACCAAAAAAGCCCGTAACTTTCTAAAAATGCTTTAACCACAGTTACAAATGGTCTGCAAGAAGCCCACCAACAGGAGCTGCTCCTTTTGCTCTTGTCTCCTTCGGCCTCAGTGAAGACCATTAACCACTTGTCCCTCTCTGGCTCCTCTCCTCCTCTCCAACCACCAGACCCTGGAGTAATCCTGGAGGCCATCTTGGCCCTCCTCTCTCTTCCTGAGGAAGCTCTCTGACAAGGCGAAGCCTCCAGCATTTATTTCTCGAACTCGGATCTTTCTGCACACCCAGAGTCCAACACCCCCCAAGCAGCCACCTTGGCTGTGTCCCGTATCTTAAGACCCATATTCATCAACTGTACCATTATTCATATGGTTGTGTGAGCCAGAGACCCGAACACCAACTTTACGCCACCTTCAAATCCAGAACAAAGTTAGAGTAACTGTTCCTCCCCAGAAGCCCCTGAACCCATCCATGTGTCTTCATTCTTAAATACAGACTTCCAGGGCTGGCAAACTATGCCACAGGCTAACTCCGGCCCACTTCCTGCTTCTGTAAACAAAGTTCTATTGGAACCCAGACCTGCCTGTTCCTTTCTGTACTTGCTTTTGTGCTACAATAGCACTGCCACACCTACAGCACCTTGTACCTGACCTTCTTAACACTCCTCATTATAATGTAACAAACTGGTCAAGGTCACCCTCCCCAGCAGACCACAAGCACCCAGTCTGTGCTTTTATCACAAAGTCTATATCACTCAATAGGTACTCAACATGCAGTTAGCAAATGAACAGAACAGTTGGCCCGCAGTCATAATCACAGTGGGGCTGGGCAAACTGGGAATGGGAAGAAACTAAAAATAATTTTAAAATACCTATAATAGGTTATACCAAACCTGACATTTGGTGTACTTCTGATCTGAACTATTCAAAGTTTAAAAAAAAATCAGCATACTTTCAAAGTACACTTTTATAATTAAGATTCTTTTAAAGGAATCTGCAACTATGTCTTTTCCCTTAAATGTCTGAGTAGAGAGAAATTAATAGAAGTTCAAAATTCTGATTTTGAATATGGGTTAAAAGCCCTATGTCCAGTAATTTGATATGACTTAAAGCTTAATAGTTTGTCCTTTTGGTAAATTTCTACATGGATAAATTTATAATCTGACATTTTAAGCATGACAAAATTAGCTAGAAGCATGACAAAAATACACTCTATTCAAAATGCTTGGCACCAGAACTATTTCAGATTTTGGGCAGGGGGACTTGGAACTATTTCCATATACATTACGAGATCTCTAGGAGATGGGATCCAAGTCTAAAGACAAAATTTATTCGTTTCATATTTTATACATGGCCTAGTCATCGTTTTATTTATATAACATTTTAAATAATTTTGCTAATGAAACAAAGTTTGTAGACCCTGAACCATGGGACCTGTGATGTCAATAATGGGGCTCAAAAGGTCTCAGATCTTGAAGCACTTGGGATGACAGATTTCTAGGGCAGGGAAGCAAACCCTGGGGCTTCATTTCTTTGCTGTAGAGTACATCTCAGAATCCCACAAGGGGGAGTCCTAGCACCTCCAAACTGCCCGTGCATGCAGCATGCTGAATTTTCTAAGAGAAATCTACAAGTTCGTGCTTTTCACAAAGAATGAAACTTTTAAAAAGAAACTATGAGCAAAACATGAGCCATCTGAAGCAACTACTCAGACTAGCATTCAGGAGCCAACTGAGCACTCAGTGAGAGCAGGACATGGCCTAATAATCCACAGTGTGCCTGGGCAAATTATGAGAGAAAAATGAACAAAACCCTAATTCTCAGTTCTTGAAACCTCCCATATTACTTTAACATCTTAGTTCATATTTTCTTAATAGTCGTCATATAAAGTATGTGAAAGTATTCCTTTTAAGAAGATGGGAGGAAATGTAGTTTGAGGAAGTGACTTATCAAAGATCCTGGGGCCAGTCAGTAGGAAAATGGGGCATGGGGTTTTCCTGGTCTTTTCATGCAAAAAAGTCAGTACTTGAGTATTTTCTCCGGGTACATGGGGTATATACCAAGTCTACTCCTCCTAGGTACTTACAGGCCTAAGCATTCATCAAAACAAAGGCACATAATTGAATATAAATGCCGATAAAATGCAACAGATAAGATAAAGAAATGCTAAAACCCCTTTCTCATAAGGCATGTACTCCCGTGATTTTGTGGTGAAGTGGGTAGGAGTTTGGGAAACTAGATATTAAGAGGAAAGAAATCATCTCCCTCCACTTGCTAAGAAACTGATGGTCTTATAAGCACAGTGAATTTGAGGGACTGGGTGCAAAAAAAAAGGAAGAAAGTCATTTTAAATGACTTGTATTAACAAGACGAAACTTAACAGAAGTAGACAAGAATCTGTATACTACATTAATCCAAAGAGAATGTTCAAGGCACTTGAATCATGATTTCAAGGTAACACTCACACACAAAAACCTTTCATTTAAGGAATATTATTATGAAATATAAAAGAGTTACTTAATAAGTGCCAACCTTACAGTCCATTTTTCTTAGACACCCTTTTCTCCTTGCTAGTTCTGAATGCTACATTTTGGAGCTCTTCATCAATCTCTTATGCCACCTCTGTTTCAACATGAACACAGATTCTGCCCGTCCCCACCCCCCGCCAGGGAGCTGTGTCCACCGGAGTCTGCACAGCAAAGATCTTGTATTAAATGAGAGCTCTCAGGCCCCTTCCACATTACACTCTGACTCCATAACCAAATTCCTCATTTAGTGCTTCCTGCATGACAGACAGGCTCAGCTGAACTCTTAGCAAGCACCACACAGTTATTTGACCCCGATATGAAACAATAATTGTTTCAACCCCCACCCCTGCCCTTCCATTCTGACATTAGCCACCGAAACAAAATATGCCTGCATTGTCAGAACGACTCACAAAAACATTCTGCAAAAACTGGGAACTGGCTGGAATGAACTTTGTAGTTTTGTTTTAGGGGAAAAAAGGGTTAGTAATATGTATAACATTTTTTCTTATCCACATCATTTTAGAAAAGGCAGCAGTGGCTTTGTGGTCAACACAGATTCAAGGTCAAACCCCAGCCATAAATCCATGGGGACATTCTCTTCCCACCCTAAGACTAAACTTCGGCTTCTACAAAATAGACTTACTGAATTCACAGCAAAGTTATGAGCATTAAGTGAGCCACATACACCAACCAACAGCCTCAAAGGGAGAGTTTTTTTGTTTTTATTTGATTATTCACAAGTGATGCATTTATTTAGCCAAACTACAATAAACAAACGTGGGAAGCATTGTTTCCCACATTAAAGTTGTTAGAAGGAAACTCCTCTTCCTCACTCCTTTGGTTTCTAAGAGAAGGGATTTTTTTCCCCACTACAACACTTCAATTTCTTTTTGTGAGATTTCACAACTGGTTCAGGACCCAAGAAAAAAGAAGAAGGGTCATTTAAGGCACGCTGCCTCCCATCCCCTGAAAGTGCTAGAAACCCTGACAGACCAAAAGCAATCTGAGAATAAGTTAACCCTTTAGATAATAGGACTTTGGTGCAACAGAGTAGAGATGACCCATATGGCACAACACCTTGGTTTTTATGCTTGGGAAAATAACTTATTTTTTAATTACTACGACCTGGGCTGGCAGGTTCAGAACAGCTGTGTGGGACCTTGGTAGGTCATGCAGCGAT